AAGCCCTGGGCCTGGGGGGGCAGCAGGGCAAGAGGGGAGCAGGGCTGGCCTCCAGCACTCACCCTCCATCCCAGAGCCGGGGCCCTGCCCTGGCCTGCCAGGCTTGACTACACGGGACACACAGGCAATGCAGGGGCGTCTCTGGGGCCAGAGTCCCTTCCTGTACTAAGCCCCTCACCTGCTTTATGGCCTCAAAAGTGAGGGGAAACTGGCTCTGGATAGGCCCAGAGGGGCACAGCACATCCAAGACATCCAGGAGGTTGGCATACTGCAAAGAGACGGGAGATGGGCAGTGGGGCAGCGGCAGGCAGGGATGCACAGCCCTCGGGGCAGGCACGCACCTTCTGCAGGGCCACACGGCCATAGGCGTGTTTGGGGGTGGCAGGCGGCATGGGACCAACCGGCAGGGCCTGGAACTGAACAGCAGGCTGCTAGGTGCCCACCGGGCTGCCCCTGGGATCCCCATCTCAGCAGAGCAGGGAGCACCGCGTGGCAGCCCGACCAGGTGCTTCTGCGAGCCCTCTGCTCCTGTGCTGCCCTGTCTGGCATCGCGCGGCGCCTGGGGCAGGAGGCTGCCAGTGCTGTCCCCCTCGTCCCACCAGCCTCGGCACCTTACTGATGACCGTGCGGATGGCAAACAGCTTCTCAGTGGGGTCTCCGGCCTCCGAGAGCGGTGCATCGTAGTCGTAGCTGGTGGTCACGGGCTTGTACCCCTCCTTGAAGTCAGCACCTGGCCAGGGAAAACAAAGGGGGCTGCAAGAAGGGGCTCTGTGGCAGAGCTGGGGACCTGCACCCCGAAGTCCCAATGGCGAGGACCAACACTAGGCTAGCGGCATTGCGCCGTGGCGGGACCAGAGCCAGGACTGCGGGCCTGAGGGTGCCAAGGGGGAACAAGAATGTGTGTCAGCCCACCCAAGAGGACAGAGAGCGAGCCCTGGCACAGCCTCCCCAGAGGTGGCCAAGGCTCGTCCCACAAGCCCAGCCCCATGGCTTGCCTGTGCCCTGCTTGGCCCAGCCGCCTGCCAGCCCCACTGGGCAAGGCCCCACTCACCGCTCCAGTAGGCGAAGTTGGTGCCCCCCTGGAACATGTACCTGCGCGACAGTGTGGGGACCGAGGTGAGCACCCACGCCAACCCCAGCAGAGATTCGCCAGGCAAACGCCGGCAGTGGTGCCTGCTCTGGCATCCGCAGAGCGGTGGCCGGGCAGCCTGGCTAGCCCCCAGTGCAAGCCAACGAGCTACGTGCATGTTGACATTGGCTCCCAGGCGCAGCATGTCCTCGAGTCCCTGAGCCACCCGTGCGGAGCTGATGCTGGCATGCGCCTCCCCCCAGTAGTCCAGCCAGCCCGTGTAGTACTCAGAGTTCACCTGCGGAAGCAAGGCAGTTATTCGCTTCACCCGGGGCTCCTGGCACTGCCTGGGGCCCTTCTGCCTCCTCAAAGTCACAGTGGCCAGTGGCCTCCGAGGTGCCCATGCCAAGCTCACCAGGGGCCCCTTCGGCTGGACCAGGCGCTGGGCACCAAATGCCTCCGTGATGTTGGAGCCTGCAGAAATTATGCAGAGGTTGGAGAAGGTTGGAGAAAGGACCCTCATCCCCCATCTTCCTCCTCTTCAATGGAGCACCTGGCCCAAAGTCCACAGTGGCGTAGAGGCCAGGCAGGGTGCCACAGCGTAGCTCCTCCGCCCGGGTGCCGTCAGTGGTGAAAAGCACCACATCGGGCCCCAGCAGTGCCCGGAAGGTGCCCAGGAGGTGCTGCAGGTAGTTGTAGTCACAGGCGTAGTAACTCCCGTACTCGTTCTCCACCTGCGAGTAGGACATGGTGTTGGGGAGGCAGATGGCTTTGCAGCTTAAAACTGGAGATGACCTGGAGGTGGGCAGGGAGCCAATTCCCACAGCACCCAACCTGCACACTGATGATGTTGCCCCCGTACTGGTATAGCCGGGGCTTGATCTTGGGGAGCAGGACATGGAGCCAGGAGTCCATGGCCGCCAGGTAGTCTGGAGACACAGAGAGCCGCTCTGCCTGGCTGCAGGGACCTCTCGGCCCCACGTGCAGCCTGTGCTGCGAGAACGAGGTGGGAGCAGACAGGGCAGGGCTGGGAGCGGAGGCGAAGGAGGATCTCCCAGGCTTCCACGAGAGACAAGCCACGCATTCCAGGGCTAGTGGCTGTCAGGAGCATGACCAGCAACAGGGCAGCATGCAGGCACAGGCAGCCGTCCCTGCAGGCACCACGCAGCCACGCGCTGAGCTCACCGGGGTCGGAGGAGCGCAGGACGATGTCTGGTTTCCACAGCAGCCAGGCAGGCAGGCCGCCCTAGAGAGACCCCGCAGCAGGGAGGGGACAGGGAAGCTGCTCGGAGATGTGACCAGCATCATCATGCCCTGCCCGTGGGTGCTGCTGCCCAGAGCTTGCAGGATGCCAGGGCCGGCAGCCCAGCAAGGACAGCAGCCCCGCTCTGCCCAGGCCACCCCAGAGGGCATCTCTCAGGGCCTGGGCTGGCCTGGCGCTGGCTCGGTGCCGCTCTGGGGCAGGCTGGCGCTCACCATCTCCCACTCCGCACAGATGTAGGGTCCTGGACGCAAGATCACCAGGAGCCCCAGCTCTGCCGTCAAGTCCAGGAAGGCTTCCACGTCCCGCTCCCCGGCAAAGTCATAAACCCCCGGCAGTGGCTCGTGGTAATTCCAGGGGATGTAGCTGGTGGGGAGAGCGGTGGCTAGTGCGAGTGAGCAAGGGACACATCTAGCAAGGAACTGTCTCCTCTCCCCCATGCTCCCAGGATGCAGGTTAGACCCTCTCCCCAGGGGAACTGAGCGCAATGGGGCTACCCAAGGCTTACGTTGTTCCCTGGTGGGGACAGGGCAACCCTGGGGTCCCCAACGCCCTCTCCAGCTCGGCGGCTGCCATCAGACAACAAGCTGCTCTGTCCCTGTGACAGGAGAGGCACAGGCAGCCCGAGGGGCTGCAGGGGCCGCTGGCACTTACACCTGCAGGGCACTCAGCCCGCTCATGTACATCTTGAGGAGCCGGTCCCGCCAGGCGGGGCGCGGGACGCGCGAGTAGTGCAGGCTGGCCGCG